ACTATACTTAATTGATTTACAACGGTTAAGAGAAATTAAACTTCATAATTCAAAAATACCTACAATTCAGTTTAATCTAAAACTGAAATTCTTTGGTCATGCCTTCTTCATCCTGTCTTACTCTTCTACCAAAGGATCAAACTTCAACAGCAGCAACCTCAATCTTAACACAATTCGAATCCCTTCTCTTATTAATCAACAAGTCCCACAAATTCTTATCATAAATTTAAATTCAAATTAAAAATCCTATATATATAAACATTAGAAACCTAATATCTGCATACCTTCAAAAATCCATCTAGATCAAACCATCTTTTTTATCCAATGTTTTTCTCCAATTCTCTCACAATAATCTCGGTTGCTTCTCTTTATGTTATTTTTTCTTCTTATTTTGTAAAGCACTATCATAATCTATAGAGAAAATAATTTTATATAAAAGTTCCAAAAGGAAGTATAAACCTAATGCCTTATGTAAACAAATTCATTTTATTGATACTTTCCCTTTTCTTTTTTTACCATTAAAAGAACTCCTTTGTTTCTCTATTTTTTTTTTTTTTCAGTGGAATAATTTCCCGTTTCTTAATGATAGGATATGTACTACACTTTTGTTGAGTTGACTGCGCTTGCGAACCATATGTTACATGAAGAAAGTGAGGCTTGCAAAATTCAATAAGTCTCTGATGTATTTCTTTAAGGGTGAGGTTTTTTCCGGAAGTTCACAGAATCGTTGAGTCGTTGGGTTGAGCTTCATCAAAACCGTAGGTTCTAAAAGGGATAATGGTAGTAAACATGAAAATAATAATTGCTAAAGTTGCCTGAATGAAATTGGTCATGGAAAGAGGTTTTACAGCCATTTGGACTCTTTTTTTTTTTTTTTTTTTTTTTTTTTTTGTTGGGGTAAACCTGATAATTGTCAGCTCCCGTCACTCAAACATAAGACTCATGAGTATAGTTAACCCCAATAATTAAAGGGCTTGTCATCCGGCTACAGAGGGAGAGGTCATTTACCCTCTTTCCTATGTCTTGATACGTGGGAAATTGTCAAATCTTGTATATATATATATATATGGTTATTTAACTCTCTTTTGCTAGTGCAAGATTAAGTAATTATTTTGTTTTGACATTTGAAAATAGATTTGAGCAAATCAGATTAAGAAAGTAGCTTTTTGTATAATTATATTTTTCAGGACTATGTTTCCAACGAGTTGGGTCGTTTTAGGAACTATGCAAGTTGTACCAAACTTTCAAGTTTCAACACCGGTTGCTTTACTTGGGTGTGCCTTTTATCATTTTTGTGTATTCATTTTTTTTTTTGAAAGTTGAAAATGATTGTTATGTTACAAATGATAGAATATTTAAATATAGAGAAATGAAAAGACAAAAAGGAAGGAACTGAATTTTCATCGCTTTGCTTGATTATAAAATACTAGACTAATGTGCTGTTTATATAGGGCTAAAAGTAACGGCTAATAGCAAGAAATTAGGAACGAATTCCTATAAACTATGTTACTAAAGACTAGGTAAACAATAAACTAATCTATTAATCCCTATTGACTAGGAAACAACAAGACTAATTCCAACCCCTCCTTTAAACTGAATGTCTTGTCTGAAACATCATTTAGTAAGAATCATCTGAGGTGCAGACACCAGAAGCTTTCTTAACTATTGGAACGTGGGAATTTGAGGCTTAGTTAGAATATCGCAATCTGATCCTCACTTCTGCAAAATATTAGATTAATGACTCCATTATTGCAAGATCCCTCAAGATCTTCACATCAATATGCTTGCTTCGACCATGTAGAACAAGATTTTTGGAGAGCTTTTTGTTATCTATTGTCACATAATCAGTGGTACCCTCTCTTGCTTGAAATGTAGCTCTTTCAGAACTTTCCTCAGCTAATAGCTTGACAACATAGGAATTTGCAGCTCCGAACTCAGCTTCGATTATTCATAAAGTTACTATTGGTTTTTTCCTTGAAGACCATGAGACAGCTCTTGAACCTGGCATAAAGCATACCCCGAGTGTTTTTTCTATCATCTTGATCTCCAGCATAATCACCTAAGTAAAGCCCATCAAATCTGAATTTTCTCCCCTTACTGTAGAGCAGCCCAATCAGCAGTACCTTGCATAATACAAAATTCTCTTTGCAACTAGAAGATGCATCTCCGGCTCTCCATGTACCTACTAATGAGACTTACGGCATACATCAATCAGGCCTTGTGGCATCAAATACATCAACTTCCTATAATTTACTTGTAAAGGGTGTTGTCAACCCTCCTTCCTTCAGAATCTTGGATAAGCTTCAAACTCACTTCAGTTGGTCTGCTAACATAATCGCATTCTTCATTTGAAACTATCTAAAATTTCTCCCAATACTCTTTTGAGATATAAAAATTCAACTACCAAATTGTTTAACTTCTATACCCAAACATAATGCATTAGTCAAAGTGTATGGTAGTTGATTTTGACTATTTTTGTAAAAAGTGTATGCTCATATGACATTTCTTCTAAATCCCTCCTTAGAAAAATAAGAACCTATATGACTATACAAAGCTCTCAAAGCTTGTTTTAGTCAATATATTACCTTTTTTTCATTTATACACCTTTTTCTCATCTCCAATCTTAACATAACCAGGATGTGTTGTCAATAATACTTGTTCTTCCAAATCACCCCGCAAAGAATGCTGATTTCACTTCCAACTGAAAGTTAGCCATGAGTTATGTGCTGCCAAAGTGATCACCAATCTAATTGTATCGTGTCTTGCAACCAGAGTAAATACTGCTTTGTAGTCAATGTCATTCTTGTTTATAGTGTTTAGACCACTAATCCGCCTTTTTTGTCCAATTTCGTCACTCTCCTTCAATTTTATTTTGTAAACCCACTTGACACCATTGTCTTTGCCCTTTGGAAGATTAGTCAACTCCCAAGTGTTATTCTTCAATTGTTGAAATTTCATCATTCTAACCTTCTGCCATTTTGTTCTTTGACAACTACTTCGTAAGTGGTAGGATCACAATCTGAAAACAGAGCAAAATATGTAAGTAGGTCCTCAAATTGGTCAATTCAGTCACCTCATAATCTGTCATCCTGTTGGTCTTTTTCTATTACGTGACACGTGTGCTGGTTAGTGTATTTGTTATTCTCCCAATTGACCATCATTTCTACACCTATTGAAGGGCTTTGAGGATCAACGGAACATTTTGAGTGGTTGCTAGTTTTTGCACATTCTCCATAGGCTGCTGCATTTTCTTATCACCATCTAAGTCTGCTGGAATGTTGTCTACACTATTCTCCTCCATGATCATGTCGATCTTCATCAAAACACATCACACGACTTATTACAATTTTCTTGGTACTAGGATTGTAAAGCTTATAAGCTTTTTATTGATCACTAACACCAAGAAAATGCATTTCTCTCCTTTGTCATCAAGCTTTTTCTCATTTTGGTCCAGAATATGGGCATAGGCAACACATCCAAAATTCTTAAATGGTCTACCGTTGGTCTTCGTCCACTACATGCTTCCTTTGGGGTCGTATTTTGAACAGCAAGAGTGGAACTTCTATTTAAAATATGAGTGCTCCAACTGACTGCTTAGGCCATAATTCTTCAAAATCTTGCTTCTTGTAAATAGGGCTTCGCACCATATTCAAAATAGTGTGATTCTTCCTCTCGCAACACCATTTTGTTGAGGCAATTCTTTCACATCAATCCATGTACTTCACATTTTCTCCTCTTTTGGATTTCATATTTCATAAAAGAAAAGAAAAATTACGGATTCTTAGAAGAGCATTTGTCATGCCGCTGAGACATGAAAGCGCTTGGACTTTAGTAAGTTCAGGAAGTTAGAATGTATTTTTTCTGGAATAAGATTTCTACGAAAAAGGTCATTCAAATCAGTCTTTTCTTTTGGATGGGTTGATGAGACCAGATTTCCAGGAAAAGTGGTGATTCAATGAGCCCTACTTGAATGAGGTTGATGTTGGAAGCTGAGTTTCTCAAGGTAGCTAAGTGTTGGTGCAGGATGAAGGAGTATGCAATTGAAAAGATCACTAACCTACGTATATAGGGAGATATGTAGCTATAAGTTGAATAGTATTTCTTTTGAATTTTGGTTTTATTAATGCTGGTGTTTTAAATATGTATTAATAATACTATGTCATATGTGCTTCTGATAACTTTTAGAATGGTAACTGAAAGCAGGAGTGTTTAATATAGGTGTGCTAACCAACGTAAATAATTAAAGTGTCTGGATTTGAATGAGCAGTACGAAAAACTGGAACATAATCAACGGAAAACGATCTGATGAAAGTTTCAGGAAAAACTCTAATCTACATAAGCAAGAATGAATTTGATTTGGGTTAGAGAAGAACAGCTTTATGATTCTGAATACTCTATTCACTAGGAATTATTGTCAAATTTTGGTTTATTGAAACTAGAAAAGTATTCAATATAATCTGATGGTTTTCCTGAGAAAGTAATACCATAACCTGATGACAGAACAAACTTAAAGCTAAAAACATAGAAGAAAGCAATCATATGGACAGAATTCACCAAAGGGAAAATGTTCCATTAATTTATTGCAGTGCTTCATAAGAAAGCTTATTTTACAACTGATATTAGAAACAAGCCTTTACCACAACTTAGCTGCTACGACAGATAGGTTTCGAATTTGGAGAAAAAAAAAGGAAGAAAACAGACCCATAGACTACAAACCATACACAATGATAAAGTCATGTTAATTTACTTTCACAGAGATGTGCCTTTGTACCTCCTTGCAGCCTCCTTCTATCAATGGTTTTTGTGTACGTTCTACGGTAAAGATGGTGAATTGAGGTTGCCATACCGCCTTGATGCCTCCCGGCTGTCATGATTTCAGTACGTTCATCTCTTTTTGACACTGATGAATAGGCACAGAGACCCTGGAATGTGGAAGGTGGCGGAATATAGAGAGGTGGTGGAATATGGAGAAGTAGTGATTGTAGGTTTGGCAACTTCTGTCAAATACTCCATGGCTCAGCTGCACCGATGTCATTTTTCGGTTTGGAGAGTAAAGTATCTGGTGGAGAAGCCCATCCTGTACGGCTTGGCCTTGACCATCCACCACTGGTGATCATAGTTGGTTCTGTCCCAATACCATTTTTCCTGTGATAGTCATCATAGTTCTCATTCCGATAATCACCATAACCAGTATTCCCATAATTACCTGTTGGATGATCTGGCGCCAATGTGAAGCACTCAAGGGGCTAAACCTTGGTCCGCTAGCTTCAGTTTGCAACTTGGTGAGGAATTCCTCCACCTTTTGCGGGCGATCATGAACTGGAGTTGAAGGCTTCCCCCATTTCATCACCATATCCATAACCAGTTGAAGGCTTATGCCACTTATTCTCACCATATCCGTAGTCAGTTGTCGGCTTATGCCATTGATTCTCACCATAACCGTACTCTTTCACTGGTTTCATACTCAAATTTCGTCGGAGAGCTATGTTTGTAGTCACTGCTGAAAGGTGAATGAACCTGCTGCACAACTGTTTCAGTTTTTGTAATACAGGAACCTGTGTTATAGTCGGGATTGTAACGATGGATGTTTCCTCCCCTCAGCATCAACAATGACTGGCTTACAGACTGATCTGAGGCATAGCTGTTTGGCTTCTCCATGTATCAGTCTGAGGCCCTAAACCGTTGTACCCGAGTTCCCTCTGTAATTGTAACCATAGCCGACATTGCTTAGCCTAGAGTAGGAAACTTGTTCTCTGTGTAAAGAACTCTAGACTTCTTTTTCTCACATCTCACGGTTGTTACACTTCTCCTTTATATAGAAATACTAAGTCCACTTTCGCTTCCAATACTATATAAGATTCAAAGGCATAAATTGCTGTGTCAAGTCATATCTTAACTTTTGGCCACGCTCTTTGAGATAGCCTTTATGTTCTGGAAATATTACTTAATGAATCATATTCTGGTTCTTCCATGTATGTGACAGCCACTATCTGTTATGAACAACACACTGATTATGTTCTTGTAAGAATTAATCCAAATCTTTACAACAATATTGTTCCATGATGTAAGAGATTTCATGTGTGAACCATGTCACCTTGAAAAGTAAGTAAATTAAAACTAATGTGATACATAAATTAAATACCCTCATACATGACAAAAGAAGAATTTACAGTAAACCATCAATCAGGATATAATAAAGTTGAGCATATTTTCATTTTGCGGTTGACAAATAATAAAGATAAATAGAAAAAAATAGATCTTGACCAACAGTTATGATAATGATCATTTCTACAAGATCTTACAATACATTTTTTGACCAACTGGAATTTGGTTGTAACTTATCACTAATAGCACTGGAAGGGGAAAGAAAAGCTGGTGCCAGAACTTCAGCAGTATCTGGCTGTGTCCACAAAACAAGTGGGATCAAGAAACAGCTGGCTATTCTTCTCCTCCCATGTCATTGTTAATGCCATCACTTGCTAAAAATTTCTACGGCTAAAATTTCTACCTCCCTAAGAGATTCATGGGATCATATTCCATCCTTTTCCCAACATTGATACTCTTACCATTAAATAAAGTCTGAAGAACCAAATTCGTCTGGACTTGACCTCCCTTACCTAACTAATGAATTGCCTCCACTAAAATTGTCTTCTTCGTTCCCACAATTTTTTATTTCTACAGGTGATATAATAGAGAAAAAGTATGCAAGTGGCTTTGTCAAGTCAGGTTTCAGATTGGCTCGTACAAAAGAAAAGTTGAAGCACCACAGAAACTAAGCAATGAATATAAAAACAACTATATCTTCCCTGAGTATCTCTTCCCTAAACTGATCTGAGAGACATTGCAGTTTCGTGTAAATAAGGTATGACACTTATGCACAGAAAAAGAATCCATAATATACCTTTAACAGTCTCCACTTTCCTGTCATCAAAAACTTGTCCAATTATAGAGCTACTGCCGGCCTTGCTAGCTAATCCGTTTCTATCCTTTTTTGGATGCAAAAATGGAAATGCTCACAAAGTGTGAAGAGACTACCAATTGATAAACTGATACTCATGTTCCCAGAATACCATGGCAACTACTACTATATGACACTGATATTTTATTTTCTCTATTTTCCATGTATATGTCCATTTCTGTCTAGGAGAGACCCGGCATATTTGTGGTGATTAAACTGAAAGCTAGGCTGGCCTTCTCATTGGCCTGACTGTATGTTTTGCTTCAAGTCATGGTACTACCATCTACAACACAAATCTGACAAATACAGACTCATACATCTAAATTTATTGCATTACATATACACATACATATAATGTTTGTGAGAGAATTGCACCCCCCAATTAGTGAGAAGGACTCTTCAAGTGATTCAGGGTTAAGCAGTCGTACGTTCCTTCAGATTCCACCCCCGAACAAATTTGTATATATTGCCCTCATGAAAATGTTAATTATAGAAGAAAAAAGATTATCTTTAAACTATTCAGTTACATGTCTATTTTCTTCACTTTACGGAAGGGTTTCTACAGATTCATCTTTGTACTCAACGACTTTTTTCCAGAATTTGCTCTTAGGGATCACTTTTGAAGTAGAGGTACTAAATTTTTTTCAAATTTGCAGAAGTCTAATTACATCATGCAATTACTGACTTCAACACCATACAGTCCCTGAATTCTAATTAAGAAATGCCCCATTTGTATCCATTCTAAATCAACTCCGTTTCGCAAATCCAACCCTTTCCCACCTGGAATTAGCCTAGGTTCCACCGTTTTTGCCGTCACCAACCATTTTTTGGCCAGCCACCTCCTGTCTTTCTAAGTCATTCCGACCAAATCCAACGGGCCAAAATCAAATCTTCCAACCACCCTCTTAACTGCCGGCCTTTACTCTACAAATCACCTCAAACCCCGTCACCTGGTTTCCCTCCGAACGTTAGTCGTGAATGTTTCCTTCTCGCCATTGGGTTTAGCGATTTTGCTTGTTTTGGATCATTTGGAGGCTTATTTTTGTAGTTTTGTGTGCTTGTTGCTATTGGAGTGTTTTGTTGCCTCTGTTAGACTGATTGTGGTGTTTTTCTAGGTTTCCATCATCCCCCAACCATTCCCAGCTCTCCTTCTCTTGGGGCACAACAGTGCTCGAGGAAAAGACAGAAAAGCTTTAAGGGTGACAATCGGTGAGCAAGTGAGGCAAAAGGAGCAAGGGTTTTGTAGAGCAGATAAAGGGGGTTTAAGTGGTGGTGGTGGTGAAGATTTCTGGTTGACAAAATGGTTGAAAGCGGCTGCAAAGTGGTAGTTTGTGTTAAAAAGAGGTGGGCTTTCCCTGCAAACGGTGAGTGATCAGGCACGAGGTGGTACGGTTTTGAAGAGAGATGATGATGGATTGAATGGTGTGTGGCGGTGAAAATTTCTAGCCGACAAACCATCAAAAAAGCGGCTACAAAGTGGTTGTTTGCTGGAAAAAGCGTTGGGCTTTTTTGACAAACGGTGAGTGATTAGACACGAGGTGGTATGGTTTTGAAGAGGAGATGATAAGGGATCAAATGGTGGTGGCAGTGAAGATTTCCAATTGACAAATCGGTTGAAAAAGCTGTTGCAAAGTCCGTTTGCACGAAAAAATGGTGGGATTTTCCGACAAACGGTGAGTGATCAGGCGATGGGTGGTATGGGTTTTGAGAGGAGTGATGAGGATCGAATTATGGTGGCAGTGAAGATTTTTTGCTAACAAAATGCCAAAAATTGCACAAAAAAGCAGTGGGCTTTTCCGACAAATAGTTAGTGATCAACGACAGGTGTATGGGTTTTGAAGAGGAGATGACGAGGGATCGAATGGTGGTGCAGCGCAGATTTTCGATGACAAACACCCAAAACTGCCGAAGAAAGGAATTCGCACAAAATCCGCCAAATGCGGCCAGTTTGGTTGCTCACTAATCGTTGTCCACCACTGGCCTAAATGGCTGGTTTAAGGGCATTTGTGTATTGCAGTCAATGCATCTGTTTTAGAACCTACCACTCCCTAATAGAGGTGGAACAAATGGGTCGGGCTAGCGGGGTCAACCCTAACCCGGCCCCAAAGAGTTAAAGCCAACCCAACACAACCCTTGGCGAGCCGGTTGCAAAATGGCAACCTGCCGACCGCGGGTTGCTGTTTTGTCCTTTCTAAAGAAATGACCGCCACCCGCGTCGTCAACCCGTGAGTTGGCTGTTACACCCCAACGACCAACCCGCCGAGTTGACCCCAAGTTGGCCGAAAAAAATAATAAAAATAGAAAATTTTATTTGTTATTTTAAATTACCCCTTTACCCTTGAAATATAACCGTTTTATAGTCTTGGAGAGGTCTTTTTCATCATTTTCTTTTCCCATTTTTTCTATAAATTGGCCCTACACTCCACATTTTTCTCACAACTCAAATTCTCTCCATTGTCTCATATTCTCTATATTCTAATCTCTCAATTATTCATTTATTCTCTTAATCTTTTTGTTATCAATTTCTCGTATTTAATTTTTTTAGTTTTTGCAATTTTAATTCATATTTCTAATTTTCCATATTCCAATTCTCTTCTTTAATTTTTATTTCTTCTACATCAATATTTTTTTCAACTACAATGGATAATTTTTCTCTCCCATCAATTGCAATGATGAAGGAAATTACTATCCTAGTCCTAGTCTCGCTGATTTTACTAACATAAATGCAAGAGAAGATTCAATAGTCCCGCTTTCCCATTCTCAGAATCTGATACACCTCAATATGCCCCCGATTCCAACAGCTCCCGGTGTTTCTAGAAGTCGTCCTCGTAATCGTCGTCCTCGTCCAACTTCATCTCAAGCTGAAGCGGGTTCATCAACTGCCGTCGAAACCGAAGACAAAACACACATCAGACGTTTGGGCGCATTTCACAAGTTTTTACGAGATAGAAAATGGCATTCAAGTCAAGAAAGCGAGATGCAAATACTGTGGAAATATTTATAAAGCTAATTCGTAATGGTACTAGTACTTTAAAAAGGCATGCTAATAAACATATTAATCAACATGGAAATAGAGAAGCAATCAAACTCAAATAACTAATATGGGTACTACTTGGCGTTATAATTTTATTTATATAGGAAACAGTTAGCTTATATATTACTGCAACTGATCAACCTATTAATATGGCTGAAGATAATATTTTGAAAGATTTGTTCAAATCTTTTTTTTCCATGATTTAAAAGTTATTCTAAAACTGCATAAAATGATTTAATAAAATTGTTTAGAAAAATGAAATTAGAATCAAAAATAAAATACATAGTTGTCAT